AGATTCCAGCACGAGCCCTATAATGCATCTTCCTGCCCTGAAGCTCCAGGGTGTGAGATTAAGAGCCAGATTTGCAATATGAGATCTGATTTTTTTCAAAATGTACATACAATCCATCAGTATGTCTAGGAAAAATATTAGAAGAAAATATTGAGGCTTATCTTTGACAGATGGAATGGCAAATTTCAATGCACAAGCTCTGCTCTGTTTTCCAAAGTTTCTACAGTAATATTGTGCCATTTTATAATTAAGAAAAAAAAGTTATTAAAAAAAAGCTACTGATGGCAAATGGTCCATAGAACAAATGCATTAATTCTCCAGGCTCTCACGTGCCTCTGAAAAGACTCCCTTCAAGGTGGCAGGCTTTTCTTTCTACAGCCCAGGCAATAAATCTTCCAAATGTGTTTATCATGAAACATTTCATCATTGTCTCCCCCAAGGAAATGCTGAAAGATGTGGGCTGCGCCTCTGCATTGCTTGGAGCACAGGTAGATCAGTAGGAGCTGGGGGAGTAGCGGCAGCATCCTGGGGTCTCCTCCTCTGTTTCTGAGCCTCACTCACCAGAGCTGTTGCCCGTATCAACTGTGAATATAAAACTCAAACACTTTCTTAATTGGATAACCGATGAATGAGAAAGAATGCAAATGTTTTCAAACCACTACCAGAATGTCAGAATATTTCCTTAAATACTGAGTAAGCATACAGTTTGAAATGCCATCCTAATAGAATAATAATCTAATATACATTTGCAGACCAATGAATGGCATGAAGCCCTGGCTCTGTGTTTCAGCCCCCTGGGCTATGCCTTTCCAAACTTCATTTATATGAGTGCATCCCCAGAGACACACACATAACACTCCACTTATAAAAAGGTAAATTCAAGCCACTGTGCGATCAAGAGATGTTCTAGACGAACAGTAGAAGACAAAAATCTTAAAATCTTCCACGAACGCCTTTGCTGATGGCAGAACAGAGCCAATAAGGCCTTAACGTTCCTCAGCTGAGCTAAACAGCAGGCCTTGTGCCAGAGCTGAGTGAAGTGGCAGCAGGTGTTTTAACATGACCAGGCTCGTTAGCACACGCCTGCAGGCTCACTGACGGAGAGAGATGTAGCCCGGGCTGTGGAGAACCCCTGTGCCCCGCGGACTGGAAACCCTCTTCCTCTCTCTGAGTCTGGCTAGAAAGAAGCAACACAGCAGGGCTCAGTCCCACAGAGAAGCTGAAAACGGTCTGCAAACAACTGATTGAGGCCATTT